TTGCATATAAGAGGCTCCTCCAGCTTCAGAAGCTGAGACAAATTGTTAGTAGGCTATATTTATAGATTTAACAGCTCTGTCATTAGAAGCTCTGGAAACATTTATGTTTAGACCAGAGTACTTCTTGGACAAAAGCTTTGTATTTCTAAGCTGAGGGTCAAATCTAAAAAAAATAACAGTTTTGATTACAATATAACAAATGTAGTTGTCTGTAAGAAGTGGGCATTTGCCTAACAAAACGAAAGACAATGTAGAAGACCTGCCATTGACAACTGAATTACGGTGGATTCCTACTCAACGTGCAATCAGTGTACCATCCAGAATTTGTTACTCTTATGTTTAACCTCTGATAATTGTATTATGCTACCTATGTTCATGTTATTGTAAAGATTTAATGAAATTAAATTGAATAAATGCTTTGTAAAAGGATGGACCAGATTCCATAAAGACACTTTCCAAGAAATGTTGAGGAGGCCTACTTTGTTGGGGTCTCCTAACATCTACACCTAAACAAAATGGATTTAGTTCCTGTTCGTAAATTTACTTTTTAAATTTTATTCAAGAGTTTGAATCACTACATCCATTTTAGTGGGCTAAGTAAAATGGTAACAATCTCTTGGTCTAGAATTTTATAAGTGACTCTGTCATGAGAGAAGTATGGATGCTGCCATTGCAGGCCTTTTCTGAAAATGCTAGACTGTGTTTGACATCAGTATGTATCAGTCACAGTCCAGAAACAAGGATGCTGTATTCCCATTGTTGCCTTTCATTACTTTGAGGGCTAGTTCACACCATCCAGCTTGATTGTGGCCGGAATGCACTGGATCGCACTCTGGCCGCCTCATATTGTTTTGGGGCGGGAGGTGGTGTGGCGATGCATTGAACTCAATGTCACCACAGCCACGCCCTCTGGCCTCAATGCGATTGACCGCACAGGAACGCGTGACACATCAGTGACTGTGTTCCAGTGCAGTCAGAAAAAGTTGTGCACGCACTATTTTTTCTGACTGCACTGGAGAGGAACTGATGTGCCACACGTTCCATGAGGCCGATTGCATTGCAGCCGAAAGGGCGTGGCTGCGGTGCCATTGAGTTCAATGTACTGCCACTCCCCTTCCCGCCTCAAATCAAAGTGAGCCGGACGGAATGCGATCCAGGGCGTTCCGGCCACAATCAAGCCGGAACGCACTGAGGATGGTGTGAACTAGCCCTTACCCTCTTGATTCCCTGGCCAAGCGCTCACTCTTGATACATTGCCTTTTGGTGCACTATCTTTACCCTGCCATCCTGGTATATTATATGTATAGTACATGTTTTCTTACTATTCACTCTTGGCACACACATTATTTCTTGTTTGCTATTTTACTCATGATACGATCTTGGTTACAATGTGTTGTAAAAACCAGGACTGTCGCGCAGCAGTGAGCTGCTGTTCAGTCCTGTGGGTTTTCAATAGGGTGCATAATGTCATATCCGGTAGATCTCTCTCGCATACGTTACGTTATTCACACATTCACATGTGAATTTGTGAATGTTAATAGTTTTATGGATTAGGGTTTTTTTTATATGTTATTGATGGTCTGAATTTCCTGGTGGTGCTGGTTTAAAAAAAATGAAACTTCACCAGGCAAATGAAGAAAATAGTGCTTGTTTTGTCTATAGGATGGCATATTTTTATGATTACTTTTAGTTGTTTTCACATTTATTGATAAGATATGTGATACTGTCCTCTTTATGCTTTAATATTTAGCTTGGCACATTTTGTATATTTATATTCCCTGGATTGTTATGATCATTAGTGCTTGGTAGCTTTCACTACACTCTACTGGCGCAGATCCTATTGATTATTATTGTCTATAGAATGATTTACCACAGTGTAATACCTTAATCTTCCTTGCTGGTTCCAATGACTAGTTTCCCAGCCAGAAGCCTCTTTTCTTACCTGGTCTCTAACCTCTCGACAGTGTCATTACGTACAATGCAGAACCAGCAGCCACCTGCATTGTACGTGATAATATTAAATTGCTAATCCACATTCTGACCCTGGAGGAAATAGGCCAGGACACAGGCTGTAGAGGGACTATACGTCTTATTTCATCCGCCCCAAAAAATGAAGAGTATATTCTTCACAGGATAGGGAGGGGGAAAACTCATTGTTTTCATCAGCCTGAAGTTCTGATTTATTAAATAAAGCAACTTTGCAGGTCTTTTTTATTAATGCACCTGAAATGTGGGTACTAACTGCTCAGAACTCTGACTTATTGTGTTGCTTGGAAAACTCACATTTCAAAGTGGTAATAGACTCAGATCTTTTAAAGTGGAGACATACAGCTAATGGACAATTAGACTAACAAGACTCACCTTTGCAACTGAGTTTGTAATTGTGAAATACTCTTTTCATGCAGTGGTTCAGTTCTTGTATATAAGTCAAACAGGTTCTGTGGTTAATTAAATTGAATCAGTGCCCTACTTGCATGTGTGTTAGTATTTAAAGGTAACTTGTCCTAAAGCTAAATACTTGTCTCGGAATCTTTCCATATAAACACCCATTCCCTAACCCCTGCCCACATGTTAAACCCAATGAATATGTTTTTATTTATAAAGAATTTTTCTGCAGAATTTTATGAGGTGTTGGTGCCTGGGACACCATTGCAGGCCACAGTTCTATCCGCCGGACCCTATGTTGCAACAAAATATAGTAGTGATATGAAGATTATGCTGGGGGCTGCAGCTTTTAAACAAAACTAATAACAGCCAGTGGCACAGGTGGAATGGGTTTTTTTTTGTTGTCTTTTAAAAAGGACAACATGGTCATTTTAAGGGTATAACTGCAGCTACATAATGTGGAATGGGCACTTACCATGTTACATCATTATACCAGTTTATTGAAAGGAAGCTGCCAGGAACAAAATGGAGATGTCAATAGTGACCTGTTTTAAAAGGTACAAGCTTCAGGGCTGTCATTCTTGTCCTTCCTTCCCTTCTTAGGGAGTCACTGATGCAGAATATGCATATTCATTTAAGATTTCCTAAAGTCCGATATGCAAATGCTTATTCTGGGCCAATAACAAGAATAACAGCACCTTCAAAAACAAGTCAGCAATGGCAGCTGCCATATTTCAGTCAAAGACGGGGCTGATTTACCAATCGGCACTAAAGGCCTATGACCTTCCCGTAAAGTTGTTGACCACAAATTTCTTTACATTTTTTTAAATGTAATTCTATGTTGTCACAACATACTGAACTAGTGGAGGTCTAGGAAAAGAAGAAAATCTTCTGCGTAAGAGAGGTGATTTTAGCAAAGTGGTGCTTTTTTTGGGCAATAAATCATGTATGCCTACAGACTCAAGTCATGGAAATGTAGTCATGATCCCAACAGATCCAGTCACATGAAACTCATGGAGCCATCAAATGCTCAGCATCTCTGTCACATATTTAGAGAGGAAGGATATGTTCTCCGACTACAATGCATATAGTTGTTTGATGACATTAACTGAAATAAGATACATTTCCACACTATTATAGTATAATTTACTTTAAATATATAATCACTGTTAGAATACATTCATCATACATTAGTAAGAGTAGTGAATACAACTGGGTCTGTATTATATGAATTGGAGGAAAGCATTCTGCATTGCCCATAGCAACCAGATTCTAGATGTCATTCTCTTTTTCAGAAAAATAAAGACCTAGTTCCAAAAACTGATTTCCATTGTGGGAGGGGTGAGAAACACCTCAAGGGTCCTAGGAATGTATGTGTTTCTCAACAGAACTATATTGGATTAATATCATTCCAAGACAAAATGGGGGAACCCAAAATGTATTGTGGAACAATTATGAATTATGAATTATGACGCTGTGCCCCTAAGCCAACACCATTTTTTCCAGACCAAGTACAAGTACCAATACTGGTACTCACAGATACCAATTACTAATACATTTTTGTTTAGTGTCATGTGACAGATTTTCTAAAACAATACAGACTAATGATTTCAGGACAGTGGTGGAGCGCCAGGGCCCAGTCGCAGCTGCAACCCTGGTAGTTCTCGTGAAAGTGGCAAGTATCTGCACTGGTATTGGAACTGGTATCTCTGCATCCATACTGTCTGGGGTTTAGGGGATCTTCCTAGTGAGCTCCTAAAAAGCAGTTAAGACCCAGACAAGAGATCAAAGCCTGCAATTTCCACCTCAGATGAAGAAATCTGTTATGAGTACAGTTATTCTTTAAAAGTTTAAAGGAAACCTGTTCTGAGATAAATATAAAAGCTTCCATTACCATTCTCCTTCTGTAAAAGCTAGTTGTTTGTCTGGCTTCAATACTTTCACCGCTCTAGGACAAGCATACTGATTAGGAAAGTCAGAGCGGATACACAATACCTGACCTACACCAGAAATTGCATTTTCAGAATGAAAATCCGGTAACAGGAATCTCCATATTTCCTCAGTACAGCTTTCTTTCAACAAAGACACCTTTAGTTCTGATTCACCAAGCTTCAAGTAACACTTAAGAACTGCATACAAGTTTGCAGTATGCTAAAGTGGCCATTCAGTCAACAATATTGTATGACATTTCAGCATGCCTTAAGCCAGAGCTGGACAAATCCCAAGAGCCAGGTAGCCAATGCTCTGTAAAAATGATAGCTGACACTTAACTTTTCAGGTTTTCTCTAGTTGTTTTCAACAAAGCTGGTTTATAAAAAGTTCTGCTGGCCCCTGGATTGGACAGACTGACTCCCGAATTACATATCCATTTGTCTACCTCTGCCTTAAGCACTATTTTGCATGCCTTAAATGTTACTGTGGCTTGATAAATCAGGACCTTTCTCTCCCCCAGTTTATATGAAGCTACCCACAAGCAACTATTATATTATAAACCTTACATAGTTTAAACATGCTTTCCCATGCACAACAAAGCCAGGATTAAAAGGCTTGAACTTGCAGTGCTTAATGTTTGTGAGCAAAGGCCAAGCGTCAAAGCAAGGCAAACCATTTGTCACCTCTAGAAACTCCTGGCTCTCCGATGGGACTCGTAGATTAAAACTTCGTACAAGGAACGGCCTTTTCTGGTGATAAAAGGCAGCACTGCACCTCCCTTCACGCCACTCCACACGCAGGGCTTCCACTGGGGGAACATGCAGGAACAAGTAGACATTACAGCAACAATGGACACTGTTGACTATGTGGATGGGTACTCATGGCACTGGACTGCAATGATAGTAGTATGGCAATGCTAACTGTAGTTGCAATGGAACTTTGTCACTACCACTGAGAAAGCATGTGTGTAAGTTTAATTCTGTGTCAGACAAGTGGCAAAGCAGGGTCTTTTTTAATTTAAAAAAGGATATATGTCAGATTGTCAGAAGAATTGGACAGATATCTGTAGTTAAAATTGTCATTCCCTGTTCATAAAGTTTCTGGTATAAAACCTGCCATACAAGCATGTCACTAACATTTATTTTTTCCATTGGGATATTTCATTTTGGAGACGGGCGACTTTTGTTTCTTTCTAGATCCTTGTTATTTATTGCTGCTTACAGAATAACTTCTGTGATGTTTATACGGATTACTCTGATTTACTGCGCATACATTTTACAAAGTCTAAGAAAGGATTTGGCAAGACGCAACTTTTGACAAAACTGGTAAGTCAGAGGAAATTTTTTATCAAACGCCAGATGCACGTAGACTTAGAGAAACAAAGTCTTAAATTTACCAATGGAATATACTTGTCTATTTAAAAAAAGCTGAAAGTGGCATCACAAAAGATAAGTCCCGTTATATAAATATTTCCAGAACTGTCAACGCTTTTGTATTTATGATGTTTCTATATTGCCATTACTTTTTACAGTAATTATGGGAAGGAGACCACTACCAGGGATGGATTTCCTATTGGTGTGAACAGGCCTGTGTCTATAGTCAGATGCACATAGACCGCTTCTCCCTGTATTTTGCCACAAATTGTTTTCCCCATGGTCATCTCAAATGAGGCAATTTACACAATATTCCAAATGTTCAGTGTCCATTAGTGATCCCAGTGGTGGGGTGTTGCTTTGGGTGCCAAGGATTGTGTACCTACATGCCAAATAACAAAAACAACAGATCTACAGCATCCTGCATTCAAAACTAACCAATTAATGGAAACATACTGCAAAGGAAACAACATAAAAGTCATATTTAGAATTCTTGTTGTAATTGCCAAGTGAACAACTGTGGAAACCTAGAGTTTTGATCCCTTCTGTTTCATATCTCTGCAGCAGAAAGCTCTTCAAATTGCTCTTTCCATGAACTCAGCATATAAATACGTACAATGGCAGCAACTTTACTGAAATTACCATTATATTTTAACCTTGGCCAATGCAGAGTGAAATGATACCTTTTACCGATTGAGTAGATTATAGCTGCAAGCTTTCAAGACAGCTTAGATGTCTTGTTCAGGCATAGTTAACATTGATCTAGACACCAACAGACCTAGCAAAACATGCTACTTTATTTGATTAGTGAACTGCTGCCCATTCAAGCACCCTTCATATATCTTGTTTCAAAGCAGGACTTTATGCCAAGACTGTGTGATTGAAGGGAAACTCCGGTCAGGATAAGAGGTCACCAGTAAAATGCACAGTATAAGGCTGTAGGCACTTGAAAAAGTAGCTGGGTTTGAAGTTGTGAATGGAGTAGACAAGGGGACAGTTTCCTCTCTGATCTTGCTAGCTCCCAAAGGACTCCCTATGGCAGGGGTAGCCAAACATCAACCATCCAGCTGCTCTGGAACTTCAAGTCCTTTAAATCATTGCAAGACTCTGACAGTCAAAGGCATGACTGCAAGAGCCAGATGCATGGTGGGATTTGTACTTTCACCTCAGTGGGGGTGTGAAGTTTGGCTACTTCTGCCCTATGGCATGGTTTTAGCCTAAAAGCTGAGCTCCCTATAAGCACCAGCCTCTGCATTCTCCATATGCACCTAGGCGGAATACACTAGAGCAGGGGCGCCCACAATTTTTTGTTCGGAGCAGTGGCGGAACTACAGCCGGTGCCACCGCACCGGGGCCTGAGGCTGTGGGGGGACCCAGTAGGGTCCGGTCCTGGGCACCCCCACAGCCTCAGTGGGGTCCAGTCCTGCAATATGGGGCAGTGCAAGTACCCCTCACCCGCAGTGCGATCGCCCGCACCCGGAATGCAGGCACATTAGTACTGCGTTCCGGTCCATTGCAATCTGCAAAAATGCTGCAAGCACTATTTTGGCAGATTGCACTAGACCGGAATGCAGGCAGGCGATCACACTGTGGGCTGGGGGCATAGCTGCGGTGCCATTGACTTCAATACAACCCCATGCCCCCTCCTGCCCCTGAACGAAGGGAGTAGGCCGGCTTGCATTCCAGTGCGTTCTAGAGGTGCCGGCGTCCTGTGCTCCTGCGGTGCTCGTGTGGCCGAGGTTGCGCATGGGGAGAGATGTCCTGCCCCTTTCCGTCTGCGGCGTCTAAAACATTTAGCTGGCAGCCACACGAGCACCGTGGGAGCATAGCCGTAGCTAGCTCTTTTTGCGCCCAAGGCAAGAAAAAAAAATGCCCCCCCAACAGTCGTGTGACATCACCCAGCGCCCTGCCTCCAGGATTTATTTTTTACTATTTTTTATTTATGTTTTATTATTTCTTATTTCATTTTTTTTAATTTTTTTTTGTTTTTTACTCTTGGGGGGCTTCCGGGAAATATTAGGGGTCTAAACAGCCCCCTGATATTTCCCTTTTAAAAAAGAAATTGAGGACACAAAGTCACAAAGTTTTTTTTGCAGCCTATGTTCTAAATGAATGGAAAGCTCTCAATACAGAGGCTTCCCATTCATTTAGAAAATATTTTACTATCATCCAGTTTCTGAATGGGGAGGAGCCTCTGTACAGAGTGCTACTCCCCATTTAGAATCTTATGAATGAACAGGAAGTGATGTAAATCACATCCTGTTCATTCATAACTGGGGACACATAGCACTATGTGTCCCCAGGTATTTATAAACACTGGAGTGATCGCTCCAGTGTTTGTCCTGCACAGAGGACCGGTACATATCACTATGTACCGATCCTCTGCCGCTCGGCCATGGTGAGGAGAGAGCCGCAGGCTGTCAGATCCAGGCCGAGCAGCTCTCTCTAACCGCTCAGCGTGCTGCTGTGATAGCGGCTCCGTCCCCCGCCGCCGACTGCAGCTTCCCTTTTCCTCGGATCCCCGCTGCATACAGATGGGGGAGAGCAGCGGGGATCCAGAGAAGACAGGACATCGAGATCACTGGTAGATCGCGATCGACCTTATGGGCACCCCTACTCCCAACTGTTACCCCTCACCCGCAGTGCGATCGCCCGCACCCGGAATGCAGGCACATTAGTACTGCGTTCCGGTCCATTGCAATCTGCAAAAATGCTGCAAGCACTATTTTGGCAGATTGCACTAGACCGGAATGCAGGCAGGCGATCACACTGTGGGCTGGGGGCATAGCTGCGGTGCCATTGACTTCAATACAACCCCATGCCCCCTCCTGCCCCTGAACGAAGGGAGTAGGCCGGCTTGCATTCCAGTGCGTTCTAGAGGTGCCGGCGTCCTGTGCTCCTGCGGTGCTCGTGTGGCCGAGGTTGCGCATGGGGAGAGATGTCCTGCCCCTTTCCGTCTGCGGCGTCTAAAACATTTAGCTGGCAGCCACACGAGCACCGTGGGAGCATAGCCGTAGCTAGCTCTTTTTGCGCCCAAGGCAAGAAAAAAAAATGCCCCCCCAACAGTCGTGTGACATCACCCAGCGCCCTGCCTCCAGGATTTATTTTTTACTATTTTTTATTTATGTTTTATTATTTCTTATTTCATTTTTTTTAATTTTTTTTTGTTTTTTACTCTTGGGGGGCTTCCGGGAAATATTAGGGGTCTAAACAGCCCCCTGATATTTCCCTTTTAAAAAAGAAATTGAGGACACAAAGTCACAAAGTTTTTTTTGCAGCCTATGTTCTAAATGAATGGAAAGCTCTCAATACAGAGGCTTCCCATTCATTTAGAAAATATTTTACTATCATCCAGTTTCTGAATGGGGAGGAGCCTCTGTACAGAGTGCTACTCCCCATTTAGAATCTTATGAATGAACAGGAAGTGATGTAAATCACATCCTGTTCATTCATAACTGGGGACACATAGCACTATGTGTCCCCAGGTATTTATAAACACTGGAGTGATCGCTCCAGTGTTTGTCCTGCACAGAGGACCGGTACATATCACTATGTACCGATCCTCTGCCGCTCGGCCATGGTGAGGAGAGAGCCGCAGGCTGTCAGATCCAGGCCGAGCAGCTCTCTCTAACCGCTCAGCGTGCTGCTGTGATAGCGGCTCCGTCCCCCGCCGCCGACTGCAGCTTCCCTTTTCCTCGGATCCCCGCTGCATACAGATGGGGGAGAGCAGCGGGGATCCAGAGAAGACAGGACATCGAGATCACTGGTAGATCGCGATCGACCTTATGGGCACCCCTACTCCCAACTGTCCAGCATTTGAAAGGACTGTCCCACTTTCTTCCTCAGGTTTCCCATTTTTTTGGTGTTATATAAAGACCTCTATAAAAATGTGCTATTTAACCATCAAAAGTGTTGTAGCACACCAAACAGGTAATCTAAGCAGCTAGTACAAAGAAAAGGCTGCAATAAAAAATGCACCTGTGAGCTTAATCAATCATTCGTTGCATATTAATTCTTCATGAGCAAAGTACAGTAATACCTCGGTTCGCAAACGCTTCTGCCAAACAGGAAGCTTGGCAAAATTTTGCTTCCGTTCGCGAACTCCAAATCAGGTGACGAACATGACCGCGGCCATCTTCCCCGCTCTGACGTGGTCGTGGCTTCCTGTAGTCGAGATCGCGGTCGCAGACAGACCTGTGCACACTTGCCCACCTTATGGGGAAATTTGATTCGGCTCACGACCAATTCGGTTTGCGACCAGTATCGTGGAATGAATTAAGTTCTTCAACCGAGGTACCAATGTAAATGTACATAATTTGTGCTGAAAGGTATCCCTCTTTATCCCTCAACTCAGAAAGTTGGGAAGTATGGGTACCTCATTTACCAGTGCAAAGTTGCTCTTTTTTATTTTTGTGACCCCCAGGTAACTAGT